GGAATATAAAAACATTACTATCTAAAATTATATTTTCAGAGGAAGCAACAAAAAGATACGAATTTTAATTTACAATATTCGTGTTTGTTTGAGCTGCTTGGTTCACGAAAGTCCTCTGTTTCTTTGGGAATCCTCGACCAAGATCACTTCGACCTTTATCATCTGACGAAATGAATTTGTGAATGTCTGTTACGGAAAAAAGAAAAAGAATATGATTATATCTTTGCAAATATCACATTTCAAATTTTCGAATAAAATACCTCCACCACGATAAACGAATAATTAACACAATGAAAATCAAAATTGCTTGGAAACTAATGTGCAATTGAAAAAATGAAAATAGAAAGGAATAATAGTAATTAAAAATTTAAAATTAAATATAATCTGTAATTATTTTTTCAATATATTGCAAGATAAAACATATATATATCATGAAATATAATATTTAATTAATGATTTTATTGTAAATTGGATAATCAAAGTTTATTTACGAAATTTGCGATGAATATGAGATACACGGATTAATATTTTTTTTTATAAACAATATTTTCCCTTCGTGTTCTTTCTCTGAGCGTACGTTCAATTTCAACTTTTTCGAAAAAATTTCAACTGCGAAAACCGATTCTTAATTTTATAGAATACACAAGCTGTTTTGTAACTTTCATAATTTTTTAACTGTTCTTCAATTTTCATTTTTTCACCTGTCATAAGTAAATCATTCGCTATCAAAAAATTGAGATTTATCATTTTTGAAATTATACAAATTACTTCATCTTCGTATGGACGTTTAATTTTATGAGATATTTTTTTTCAATTGACATAAAATAAATAAATATATTGGTAGAAAATATTCTATTAAACGAAACATACATATGTAATATGATAAATATAATATAAATATTTAATATATGTGTAAAAATATTAGATCGAATACATATCTTGGTTTTCAAATTTTCTCAATTTTTCGCCCATATTTCTCCATATTTTTCCGCTGTTTATCTCTCAGATACTCATCGATCTGCTGGCACAGCTTCGATCGTAAGTCAAGAATGCAGTCTAGCGAAATAGAGATAAACCTGTGACGATTGATCGCGAACGCTTTCGAGGGTTCTCGATGTCGTCCTTGACACCTGCCTCCTTTGTCTTCCATTCTGCCTATGCTCTCATTTCGAACAACAGAAATTATATAACTTTTTTTTTTATTATTATTATTTTAAAATTCTTTATTGTGCGATTTATCACATCGATTAAATTTATCACATCATATTATCATTTTAATTAAAATCTATTTATACTTTAAATATTATATTCCATATTTTATTCTAAATTTATTTCAATTACATTTAAAAATAAATATTAATCATATTTATATTAGTTAATATTTATATATTTATATTATTCAGATAAAAATATTCATTTAATATTAAATTAAATATTCATCCAATCATTTAGAATTCAAAAGATTTCAGATTTTTTTATTATATAAATATTTTTATTACAGCTATTTTTTTTAAATAATAGTATATTAATTTTTTATTAATTATAGTAATAAAATTTATTTGAAATATATTTTTTTATATCAAGTATAATTAAAAATAATTATAAGAATATATATTTTAATAAAGTGATGAAATGAAAAAATTTATTACAATTATTCACAAAAATTACATCATACATTATATAATATAATTTTCTAATATAGTCCTGATTCATACAATATATATTAACATAATCCTATTATATACGTGATTATATTCTTATTATATAATTCATACAAGAATAAAATAATTTTCATATTATTTCCTGCACAATTAACGAGGATCTGATGATTTCTACGCAAAAGTGTTCTTTTTTTTTGGGAATTGCTTCCACGGAAACATGATAGAAAATATCATCGCATACGAGTTCTCGAATCAATTCTTCCTCGACAATTTTGACTTTGGCAGAATAACAGAAAACGAGCTTTTTACGCATAGGAAAATGTTGTAAAACATTTTTCTAATATATTCAATCTTATTCTATGGTTTGGAATCCTCTTTATATCGATTTTTAACCACTAGAATAAAAATTTGTACCACATATATTACTTAACCTTCAAATAATTTAAGTACCAATTACTTATATTATAAATGTTAGATTCAATCCATTCCTGGAGCTATGGAATATAATAATGAAATTATTACAAAATCTGTTATTAATAAGTTTGATTCACTAGATGATCAAAGATCAAAGTCTATATACTAATAACGTTCCACTGTCATTAAAGTTCGAAGTTCAAAGAATTGTGTTCTTCTTATTATTGTGATAGTATTTCCGACAGTAGTTTCGATGTTCTTGTAGTCCTGATTTCATAATTCTGAAGTTCTTGTGGTTCTGGTTTTGTGATTCTCCCTTTTTGAAGTTTTTGCAAGCTTTTAAGGATTCTCCCTCAGACTGGTACCCTCTGAAATTCCTGCCATGTTCCATTCGTGAATTTGCGGATCTTCAATGGAGGTACAAAAGTATCCAATAACGCTGAGAACTAACCTCCTGATTGAGCGGTACCTCAGATCATAAAAAGTTCCCTAGAATGAATCCAAAAGCTATGCCATTGACAAATCCGTTATTTTCCCAAAAAGCTGTTCTGCACATGTTTGCATTTTCTTTCAGATAATATAATTTAATTACCGATATTGGTATAGCTATAAAAGTCGTCTCAGATAATAAGATAGAATATAAAAGAATATTAATATTTCAATTATGGTGAATTGTTTCTAAATATAGAAGGCAAATAGTCAATAAATTTTTTCTTAAAAAACGGTATTGTCTTTGCAGTATTATCCTAAGTTATCTATGCATGTCTGGATACCATCTGTTCATTGTCTGATTGATGTCTTGAATGATAAATTTAATTCTTTCTTTAAAAATTTAATGAAAAAGAAAGAGAGAAAAAAAAGAGATTATTTTTATATAAATTTTATTATGCGTTAAATTGTTATTTTATTAAATAAAATATTTTTTTATTCTAAATATTTTATTCTTTATTATTTCTCATTTATTTTCTAATTTTCCTTTATTATGTTTCTATTTATTCTATTTATTATGTTTCTTAAATATTTTTTAATTAAGTATTTTTTTTTTTTACATTAAAAAAAATATTTTTATATAGAAATTTCATCCACTGAATATCAGTGAATCCTACAAAGTGAATCGTTTTAATTTAATTCAGATTTATAAACACATATTGAAGTTGATCTATCGCCAGTTTTAACCTATAAATTTTTAAGTAGAAAGAATTTCCGAAAAGCGAAATCCAACATTCTATATAAAAAAAAAAAAAAAAAAGAACAAATGAGAAAAGTTTCTCAAAGCCTCAATATATAATATATAATGTTCAAAAATCGTATAAGCAAATCTTGAATAAAACCGCTAACGATTTCTTTCAGATTTCGACTGTATCTATTTTTCAACACTTCCTTTCGAAGATTAATACTAAGTATAAAAATGAAAGAGAAAAGCTTTTAACAAAAACTCGATCGAATTCAATTTTGACTTTAAAATCGATATTTTTAATTCTTATATAGTTTTAAAAATCGAAAATCTTATATATTCTTGAAGCTGTTTTAACAAATTATTAACATATATTTCATAATTACCTTTATATTGTCTTTCTTCAATTATTCGTTGGCTTTTTTTTTTTGAATTGTGCGTGTTCATTTATACAAAAAACTAATAATTTAGTAAAATATGATTAAATTATGGTTAGGAAATTATAACAAGAATTTTCTGTGATGAATATTAACGAACAATATATAAAATATACTTTTATTATAAAATATATATAATTAATACTATAAATATTGTACAATATATTTCCCATAAAATATATTATAAAATATAATTTTTTAATAATAGATTTAGAATCACAAACCATGAATGTATTTGTATGAACTGTATTTACATTTGCCAACTTTCGATCAAATGATTGAATAAAAATAAGGCGCATTTACATTAAGTTGAACAATTGAGTTGATAATGATGAAAAACGAAAAATCATCGAAAATCTTATAATTATCTTATATTATTAAATCTTTTAATTATCTCTTATTTAAATTTGAAAAAAAAAATAAAATTCAATGCAATATTAAAATTAATTAAAAAACTCAAATTATCTTCGGAAATATATTTTCCTATAAAATTTATGATAAATCAATTTTCAAGATTCATTAATTTTAAAATTAATTTAAAAAAAATGGTTAATCGAATTGAAATTTTAATTATTCTTTTTTTTTACAATAACTATCAAGTTTCATACATCATACAATAACTACAGTAACTATCAAGTTTATTTGTATATATTTATGTTCTTGAAAATATAAATCTATATATAAATTTATATGTATAATTTTATTATATATAATTTATTTATTATATATAATTTTATTATACATATATTTATTATAAAAATATCTCGGTTTTTTATTTTTTTATTTTTCTGGCAAACGTTATCAATTCTATAATAGATAAGAAAATGTTATTTATTATATATATTGTACAACATTTTTTTATTTTGCAATTAATTTATTAATTTACTACCTAAATTTTGTTATAAAAAATGATAAAAAATTTGTTGTAAAAAAATATTTATTTGAAATATTCATACAAAATGGAAAAATTGATAATGATTTCATTTCATAATTTTATTTTTTTTTCACTTCATTTAGTTCAAATTCTCTTATTTATAATATAACAAATAAATATCAACTGACGCTTTTGCATCTTTTTCATTTCTTTTGGAAAACTTTTATTAGATCGATTTTCTCAATCAAATTTGTCTTATGTATTAATATTTAATACTTTGTAGTCCGTATATAAAAATGCTGATCAACAATTGGCAGAACGACGGTCCAGTAAGATTTACACTCTCCCCACTCACTTCTTAGTAACTTTACTCTGAGCACTAGCATATAGCTATCCGTGAGCACACAACGTCAGGTTGAATGGTTATAAAAGAAGAGAAAATTTGCTCTGCGTAGTCAGTGTGTTATATGATAGGAAGATGCATCGTTGGCGTGGAAAAGTAGCGATCGTGACCGGAGCGAGTGCTGGTATCGGTGCAGCGATAGCGAGAGCATTGCCAAGCCACGATATCAAAGTGGTCGGTCTGGCGAGAAATATAGAGAAACTGGAAAAACTTGCGGACGAATTAGGAAGAGATAAATTTTTCCCAATTAAATGTGACGTTACAAAAGAAGAAGATATTTTGAAAGCGTGCAAATGGGTCGAAAAGGAATTGGGAGGTGCTGATATTTTGATAAACAATGCTGGCATCGCCCAATTAAATGCTTTGATTGGTAATTATCGATTTATAGTTGATTTACAGTGTATTCTCAAATATGATATAATTATACTTTTTTTACTTTTTTTTTTAAATATATATTTATATTTTAAAGAAGTTGATTTCTGGAGAAACAATCTATATAAATCTATACATAAATTTTATGTGCGATTTATATGCATTATTATGGAAAACAAAATATCATAGTTATTTTTTAAATAAAACTACTACGTTTTGCAAAATTGATTAAATAGAAATATGAAATAGATCTATTTTAGATGAATAAAGTATAGGTCTTATTTTCAGAATTTATTAGATAAATTTTATAATTAAATGATAGTTTATTTAAGTTCAGTTAAGTGATAGTGATAAATAAATGATAGTGATCATATAAGAAAATGATATAATCTCTTCCTTTATAAATAAACGAGCAATCATATTATATAGATTACAAAAGATTTAAATACATACAATAATAAATAAATATAATACACAAAAATTTTTAATATTACTACAAATTTATTAAATTTTATAATAGCGTATACATCATTTATAATTTATATATCACGACTATATTTTTATTATATCTTCTATAATTATTTTATTGATTTAAATTATTATTATTATTAATATTAATTTATAATTTAATATTATTTAATTATATAATAATGTTTATATATTATTTTTTTTTAATAATCTCGTCAAAAAAAGAAGAATCATCTTTGCATAATAATGTAATAATTGTACTATATTTTTTTCTTTGATTACATGTTTCTAGACAACTGTGTCAGATATTCTTTTCTACGTACAACCTGTTGCTTCGAAGTATTTCATAATATATAATTTCTCTCTCTTGTTATTTTATTGATTTATATTTTTTTTTAAATAACAAATCAAGATGTTCGTTTTATTTAATATGACTTACCAAATACTATGTTATAACTTTATATTATAAAGTTATTTAGTTTTTTTTTTAAATTTATATAACAACAGAATCTCAAGCCTCCAATTTTAATATATGATTGACTTTCATTATTTTTTAATCTAAACTTTATCCAAAAGAATATACGAATTAAAAAGGAAAAATAAAATGTCGAATAAAATTCGAAAAATTATCCATCAATTTAAAATTTATCTTTTCACAAATATTTTTTAATGATTATACTGCTTATTATAAAACAGTCCGTACATGAGTACATTCATTTTCCTTAACTCGAAGGAACTTTCATTGAAGTTATTTTGTAGTGGTTATCGACCGTAATTGCCATGGCCTTCATTTTTATCTACCAGTTGCACTTGCATACGTATTAACGAATTATGCGAATTTTTATTTATATGTTTTATTTATATTTTATTTATTTATATTTAAAATTTCCATTATATTTAATTATAAATGAATAATTCAATGACAATATATAATTTAATAAAGAAGAAATATTTAAAAAAAGATTTTCAAAGAAATTTATAATTATTATATTTGTATTTTTTTTACAATAATATGTACATGATACTTTTTTTTACAATATGTAAATGATATGTAAATAATTATAACAAAAAAATAATTTTTTTTATATGGAATTTATTTTTAGACCAAAAAACTGAAGATTATCGTAACGTCTTGGATACTAATTTATTGGCACCGGCAATTTTTTCACGAGAAGTAATATTGTCTATTAAGAAACGAAATGCACAAGGGCATATAATCAATATATCTAGGTCAGTAATCTTTTCATTTTTTTTTTGTTTGATCGAATTTCGAGTTTATTTTATGAGTTGACATTTTTAAGCTCTAAACTCTATCATAGTTAATCATTATAAAAATTATACTTATTTATTAAATCTTCATTCATAATACTGTTTGATTTTAAATCAAATGTAAATGAAGCTTCAAATTCATTACTATAGACATTATTGATTAATTTATATAATATAAATAGTAAAACTGGAAAGTACAATCATGTATATTGCAAATCGTGATATTTCAATCATATGAAAAATGTATTGTTTGATTATACTTTCCACTTATCGTTTTTACTTTTTTTTTATATATATAAATTAAATATTAGTCAACAATCTTTATAATAATAAATTTTAATTTCATTTACATTTGTATTGACTTATAGTATATCTGAATCTCATCTCGATGCCATTCTTATACCATTGGGCATGTATGGCGCGTCTAAAAGTGGTCTACGTAGTTTAGGCTCGGAACTTCGAAATGAAATCATTCTGAAAGAACTGGATATTAAAGTCACGGTAAGAAATTGTAATTTATCTACATCAACGACAATCGATTTGATTTGATTTAGTCTGTGCTTCTTGAATACTTTCAGATATAAACATGTATATAACTATCATTATAGATATAATTGCGGAACAATTTTTTATCGAAAAATATTTGTTGCCAAAAATTTTTTACTATTATGATTTATTTTCTGCCATTAGAATTTTTCAGTGAAATTTTTAAATTCTTGTTTAAAATTTATTTCAATATTGAGATTAAGAACCGATTATTTTACTCATTAATTTACTAATCGGTATTTAAAAACAAGAATCATTTTGAAACAATTAAAAAAAAATCGATTAAGATAAGATACTACTTTGAAACAAATACAATTCTGAACGTTGAATCCAATCATTAATTTTCGTTCGATCAACGAATTTGCAACGAATTTGTTTTTGTTATAATATCATTTATTCATCACGAACATTTGTATTAAATTTTTATATTTCTAATATGATTATAATATATTTTATATTTCAGAATATTGCACCAGGAACAGTAATAACGGACATGTTGACAAATGCGCTTGGATCTAATGTTAATATTCCAAGTTCTATTTTATTACCTGAAGATATCGCGGATGCAGTAGTTTATGTATTAGGAACACCAATAAGAATAGAAGTAAGTGGAATAAATTATATAAAATTTCAATAAAACTGAATATAATAATTTTGAAACATTTTTGTAAATGTAACAAAAATATCTGTAATTTTTGCTTATACTTTTATTTTAATTCTGTTTATTCTGTTTTATTCTGTAATTTTAATGCGATTTAAAATTTTTTTGTATCAAATAAGAAATAATATTAATTTTTTCTTTTTATCTGCAATTATTCTATTTTTGAAAAGAATCAATAAAATTGATATTTTATCAATTAATAAAGATTAAATAATTGTTAAAAATATAAGAAATAATTATAAAAAATGGGAATTTTTCTTCATTTATATTTTAGATTATGTGTGAAATATAAATGTTGAATTATAAATAATTTATATAGTTTATTTTCTTGACAATTCTTCTTCTTGACAATTTATATAAATTGTTGAATTTTAATTTTTTTTTTAATAATTGAGCATAAATTGCCTGATTATAAATATACAGAAAAATACAAAGATATAATATGAATGTGAATTTTATTAATTACATTGATAATCTTAATAAACAAATAATATTTACAGATTCCACAAATCACGATAATACCACACAATGAGTCATTCATTCCGAAATTTGCATTAGAAGTAAGTATATGTCTTTTAAATTTTTTTAAAATCGTTGAACATATATAATTAATGAAAATAAATCTAATTTTGATTTTTCCAGATTCTGTCAAATATCTCAAATAAATACAAAGAAAAAAATAAATAATTTAATCATATTGAAGAAAAGAATATTAACATATGAAAGAATAATGACATTATACAATAATATATATTGAAAAATGTAAATAAATATAAACATGATTTGATTTATAATAGATTGCTTGTCACTTTTTTTGATTGAAATTTTATTTGTATGTATTTTAATGAATAAACTTATTAATTAAGTTAAAAAATTATATGTATCATTAAATGAATGATGCAAGATTTGTTTTCGATAATAATATTTATTTTCATTTTTGCAATTGTAACATACATATATTTAACCTATGTAAAATGTTTGTATGTAATGTAAATAAAATCACGTGATTAAAATCTAAGGAAATCAGGGTTGAAATTATAATTCTATAAATATAACTGAGAAAAATATTTTTATATATATATTAATTATATTATATTAATATTTCATTCACAAAAAATTGATTTTATCTTTTGATTAATTAATCATTAGATAAAGCGATAAAACGATTATAATTTTCTATCCAATCTTTCTATCTAAAATCTAATTTAAAGCTTTTCTTTTTTATTTTCTTTTCAAATATCTCATTTATCATTTATATTAGTTATAAATTTTCAAATATCTCATTCATCATTTATCATTTATATTATAAATTTTATATGCTGATATAATCTTTTTTTTCGATTAAATTTTAAGTTACTATTTTCATTCAGTAATTTGAATTACTATTTTATTAAATAAAAATCCTTTTTATAAATTGCAAGAAAAATTGTGATTAAAATAATTTTTAATTTAATTATTTTTAAATTAATCTTTTTTGATATAATAATGAAATAATTTTGACAATGATTTATTCGTATAAATAAATCTTATAATAATTTAATTTTTCTAATATTATTTAATATTTAGTTCTAATTATTCTTATTAACTCATTTTTATAGAATCAAAGATTCTTCTTCAATATTAAAAAATTAAATGATTTATTAATTGTTTCTCAAAAATATATAAATCTTTTTTTCTTGTATTAAACATATAACTTGAATTTTAATTCAAACATTTCAAATAAATGCATAATACATAAAATATATATAAAAATATATAAAATGCATAAATGCATAAAAATATAATAAAAATAAGAGTTTAGTATCTATGAATGAAGGTGTATACACTGGTGTAAATCGGGTTGCAGAATTTGAGCATCTCTTATACGATAAGACATGTTACGAGGCATATTCTATTTCTTAATATTAAAAATAATAAAATCATTTAAGAATCAAAAGTAACGTGATCATTCTTTAATAATTTCCGAATATCTCTAAAAATTAAAGATATAGATTATCGATCCTTTTAGAAATTTGTTGAAATTTGGTTTATATAATATTAAAGATATTTCTATATAACATCTTATGTATTAATTAAAAAAGATAAAAATGTATTAATTAAAAATAAAAAAGATAATGAATTTTGTATCATTTTTTCTTATTCTTTAAAAAACTAATTAATTGTTAATTCTTTATATTATTGCAATAACGTATACATAAAGAGTGTGTATATGTATATATATATATATATATATATATATATTTACATATGTGTAAATTATATTATTGCGCAAATCCAATATATATATATATTATTGAAATGCTTCATTTCCGAGTTTTTGTTATTCTTTTTATCTAAAATATATTTTTATATATATTATTATATTATTATCTATATTATCTATATTTTTTCTAAGATTTATTAGAAAACAATTTTGTCAATAGTTACGCTGTGAAAGATTATCATGTTTTTCATTGGAAATATAAATTATCATTGAAATTTCAAAAGTAAGTAAATACTAATACAATTATAGATTTATTATAGATTAACATTAAAAATTGGAAAAAGAAGTGTATAAGTACAAGAATTGTAAAAATTTTATGTCTTACAAGAATTTCAATATCTTTTTTATGACTCATATATTAGAATTTAATTGAATGTAAAAAATAAAAGAGATAAAGTACTTGAATGATAAAAAAAGAATTAAGAATTAAGTATATATTATCTTTTTATTGATTTAATTTTTTCCTTTATATATATATATATAATATTTTATATATATATAATATTTTATATATAATTTTATATATAATATTTTATTAAATTTATCAAATTTTTTAAAAATAAAATTAACAAATTTTTAAAAAATTTTTTAATTCGAATCTTCGTTGAAAACTTCGAATTATTTTGAAATTTAAACGTCCAATCAATCATACGTGAAATAATCATGATTAATTTATGATAATTATTTCCTAGACTATCAAAATTTTAATTCAAAATTTAGTATGATTTATCCGAAGATCTGAATCCATATTTTATAAATATATGCTCGTTAAATTATCAGAATTTTACAATAGAAATATTACTTGAAATTTTCTCGATTTAAAATTTTGTATTTTGATTTCAAATGAAGAATTTGTAATTTTAATTTAGGGCTTTTGATCTTGTCGAGACATAAAAATTAATTCAATGTAATCGAATTTATTGAAATTTATTTTGAAAGGGAAATCGATTCAATGTATATTTACAATACAAATTAAAATAGTTAATATTCATGATCGTTATAATAAATTCATGAATAATTGTAAAGTATTTAACATCTTATTGTACTTATTATTATATACATCATAATTATAGATAATGACATATAATAAAATATGAATGACATTCAAGGTTGAAATGTACATATCATATATATTGTCATATATATCAAAGACAAATGGAAAATAATAAATAATAAGTTATAATAATAAGTACAACATACAAATTATAATTCCATCATTGAGTACATAATAATTATATAATATAATTACATAATATAATAATTGATAAAAGATACGAATAATCGAATAACGACGAAAGATAGAAAAATTTTATTTCGAAAGAGAGTGTAAAAACGCATAAATAATCTTGTTTTATTATAATTTGAAATATATTTCATATTTTGAATGCTTCAAAAAAAAAAAAAANAAAAAAAAAAAAAAAAATAAATGAAAGTATCGATATTTTTGTATCTCTGTGGACACGAGTACTTATATTCATCAGCATCGATATTTTTATATCTCTGTGGACACCAGTATTCAAACAATTAACTATGATAACATACCATGAACAGCCAAAGTTATAGGAAAACAATAATATACTATGAATTCATTCATTTCCCCCTATTCAAAAAATATTAAACAATATTATATTATTATTTATAGTATATTATTATTATATAATATATTATATATTATTAGTATATTATTATTACTGAAATAATATAATTATTTCAGTAATTAATTAATTTTTCAAGCCAGAAGTAATCGACAACTAATCGTCATCAGTGTATTAATGTATTAATACATAATATATGTATGTAATGTATGTAATACGTAATATATAATATATATAATGTATAATATATATATTTTTACATTAGCATACATTAACATTACATTAACATATTCGTTAATATTTTTTGAATGTGTAACGAAAACACATTCTCGCTCTCAAACATTCAACTTTAATTTTTATCTAAAGTTAATAAATAAAACTGATAATATATATAATATATAATATATAATATATAATTTTCCTTTTTTATTTTCAATCTATAAAGTTATTTCACAATATATAAATATAGATATATTTATCTGTATATCTACATGTAGATATTAGTTTGTGTATTTTAGAATTATCAACAAAGGATACGCAGTTTGTTCGTATAAAAGAGCGCAAGATTTGGTGCGCAGTCAATTTGTCGAGCAATAGATAATAGAAAAGATGAATCGTTGGCGTGGGAAGGTAGCGTTGGTAACTGGGGCTAGTAGTGGTATCGGTGCTGAAATAGCCAAGCTTTTGGTGAAGAATGGCGTTAACGTGGTCGGTATTGCCAGGAATATGGAAAGATTGGAAAAAATTGGCGAGGAGATCGGAAAGGATAAGTTTTTCCCGATTAAATGCGACATAATGAAGGAAGAGGATATTTTGAACGTATTCGAATGGGTCGAAAAGAAATTTAAGGGCATTGATATTTTAGTAAACAACGCTGCTATTTTACATAGCGGTTTTTTCATTGGTAAATATAGTTATCGATCTATCATTCGTTTTTTCGAATATGATCGAAACGATTATATAATTATATATTATATATATTATAATATTTTTATATATATTATTATATAATATTATTTTATATTATATTTTATATAATATTATTATATATATTAAGCCTTCCTCTTAAGTTAATAAATCATTCGGATTGAAAAGTAATAAATCAGTTTTATCCGTGTAATTTATCAAACATTGATCATTTTTTTATATAGAAAGGATAGAAATATATTTCTTTTTAAATTAAATACAAGTAATTATAACAATTTATTTTTTATTTTATTTTAATATTAGAATTCGTATGTTTTGATTATTTCTTAATCATATCAAAATATATCCTATGTAATAAATGTAATACAAATTACGTACGATATTTGGTATAAATAATTTTTTACTTCAATTATTTTTCGAAATTTATTGAATTGATCTATATTATTCGAATTACATACATTATAAAATAGTTTCTTTATCTAAATTAAATAAACCTATTATTTATTATCAGATTTACTTAATTAATCTATTAAATGATATTAATCTATTAAATGATAATTTTACGGAGTTATAACATTTTAATTGTATTATCTTATCTGTAATCTATATTTATTGTATATATATATATATATTATAATTCTTTATAAATATTATACATGTATATATATAATTATTGCAGTATACCTAACAATGGTAAACTTGAGAAATTAAAAATAGAAAAAAAAGAAATTACCTTATTTTAATTATTTAAATTATATAAATTGTACGTAAGCGCAAAAATCATATTTTAATATTTTAAAATAAACTTATCGCTTATTATTCTACAAAAATTTCATTGATAGTCAAAATTTATTTTTGAAAACGGGTTGAAGATATCTATTATTGCATGATTTCAATATTAAGTCATATATTGTTACGAAATACGATTGTACACACGTATATCAAGAAAAAAAAAAAAAAAAAAAAAAGAAACGGAATATAACACACGTTTCTTATTTTAATAAAAAGAACTATATGCAAATAAAACAAAATAAAACATAAAAATTGTCATTCGTTCTCACCAGAACATGTTCGAAATAATATTTCTAATTATGAAAAAAAAACAAAATATTTTAATGTAAAATTGTATGTTTCAGATCAGAAAACCGAGGAATATCGTAAGATATTAGATACGAATTTATTAGCTCCCGCGATATTCTCACGAGAAGCTGTATTGTCTATGAAAAAACGAGATACCCAAGGTCACATAATCAATATTTCTAGGTAAACGATCTTCTCAATGTTAAAAAATTTTAATTAAATCGATTAATTTAAATCGATTGGTGGTTCATCTCGATTTATTTCATGCATAAAATTCTAACGCTATTACTTTTCTGTTTCAATGTTGAATATCACGTATCATTGATTTTTCCATTTTCATTTCTTTACATCATATTTATTTTCTATTGTCGTATTATATATAATTTTCAGCATTGCCGGATCTCATCTCGACGCTATACTTATACCACTCGGTTTATATGGACCGACTAAAGGCGGTATGCTCAATTTAAGCACAGAACTTCGTCACGAAATCATTCAGAGTAAATTGAATATCAAAGTCACGGTAAGAAGTCATGATAATTCGAGCAGTTTAATCGTTTTTTTTTTTCTTCATTCTTTGCCAAAAACCAAAAGACCAAAAGTCAACAATTTTATCTAACATTGTTGTTTGAATTTTTGAACATCTTTCATAAAAAAAAAAAAAATACGTAAATGTTTGAAAAATCGAAGTAAAAAGAGCAATGAATTTTTTTTATCAAAGAAATAATTTTTTTTTTATTTTTCATTCTCTCTCTTTAAATCGTTTAACATGTTTATTATTTATTTTAAATAAAATTAATTTCTTTGATTACATTGAATTAATAAATTGTTAATTATTTATTTAGTAATTAATTTCTAATAATAATAATCATTGATTTTTGCAATTTTCTTTATACCTCGATTAAAAAACACATATAGATATATTTAATATAATCATAATTCTTTGCTGACATGCAATTTCTAAATAAATACATTATAATAAATACTATTCTTTATATCAGCGTTGAATAATTGATATATATAAAAATATTAAATTATATTTCTATAGACTATTGCTCCAGGACTTGTGATGACAAATATGATAAATGAGTTAATTAAAGAAAGAGAAAAGCAAAATATTTACACACATTCATTAGAAGCTATAGATATTGCTGAAGCAGTAATTTACGTGCTAGAAACACCGGAAAGAGTGGAAGTAAGTGAAAATAAGATACATGAAATTCTTATAAAAATACTTATCGCATGTAGATTATCAACTATTATAATTTACAATATATTTTTCGATTTTATATATATACATATTTATATATATATATACAATTATATATTTATATATATATAGAAAAAAAGATATCACACTGTTATAATTTTAAAATATATGATCAAAATTTTTACAATTTTAATACTGACCATATATCTAAATAATATTTACAGATTCCACAAATTACTTTACTACCGCATAAGAGTCCATTTATTCTTTCAAATAAAAAAGTATGTAATATAAGTATATATCTCTTTTAAATTTTTTTTAAATTTTCATTAGATAATTGATTTTTAAATTTGATTTTATTTTATCTAGGAAATATTATAGACATAAATTATAGACCAGAATTCAGATGATAAAAGTGGATAAAAATAATATAAATAGCCACGTCGAAAAGAAAAATTAATTCAATACGAAAAAATCGATATATTATTATTAATTAATTGTATTAAAAAATATATATAATTGTTAAAATTTGTATATATAATATATATAATAATTGTAACAATTATTAATTCAATCTATTTCAACAAATAAATTTATTAATTAAATTGTACTAAAAAAGATATATAGTACTGTAATTAATAAATAAAATTACATTTTAGATATTAAAAATTTCTTGGATTATTTAAAATTTTTTATCCTTGGTAAGAATATTTCCATTTATGTATCTATCACAAATATATTAACATTTTGTATAATATAATATATTCACCTAACCCATTTATGTGATACAAATAAAACCACGTGACCAAAATCTAGGGAAATCAAATCGAATTCATATTTTATTATCTTACTAGAAATAGAAAGTTAATATAAATTATACAATAACAAATTATTAATACATTTTCGAAATAAAAGTTCATAAATTAACAATTTTTATATATTTTAATTTCATTATTGAAGAAATTTTCCAATGATTAATTTATAAATATGTATAATAATGAAATAAAGATATTAGTAATTTTGTTTGAAACTTTTTCAGAAAACATAGAATGTTAGAAAATTTAGATTTAGACAAAATGTATAAAAGGATAACCTGGCTTTAATAAAAAATAAAACGATAATTTAATTTTCATATTATTAATAAAATCCATTAATATTTAATAAATATATTATACAATTATAATAATTAATTATAATATTTTTAGATATTTATTATTCTTTTTGATAAAATAAAATCAGACCGATTAGTTATATTGTTTATCCAATTATATCAATTTTTTGAACATAATAAATGTGATCTAATGTAATCTAGATAAAATCGTTGAATTAATTTCAATCCTCGTGTGAAAGCCGTGAATTGTAATTATAATATTTTAATTTTTAATTAATCGCGCAAGTATATTCATCAGCGAATTTATTCAATTGGCTCAATTGAGTTTTTAAAATTCGCACGCGATACCACGAAGCGAAATCTTGATGATTAACAAAATGATTTTAAATACATACAAATTATATGTTTTTTGTTTTCATCTAGATTGATGTTTACAGAAATATTTTTCTTGTGTCGCATCTTAGATCTATCAATGTTAAATAAATAATACATTTTCTCATTTCTTGTACACCTCATTTACCTTTTCTCTCATGTATAAATTTGTATATAGAATGAGATCTATCTAGATCTACGATATCTTTTCTTTACTAAGATTTAAGTCAAGTTAAGAATTGTGTATGTTTTTTTTTTTTATAAATTTCAATAAAAATTTCAAAGTACTCGATCGAAATTGAAAAAAAAAATTAATTTGACGGAGAAATTGCGATTAAAAGAATTTTTCATTTAATCCTTTCTATTAGCTATTTTCACGAATTGGAATTACGGCAAAAATAGGGATCGTTTAATTCTTCAAATTGAATTCCAACGAGTTTAAAATTTGCAATACGTCGTATCTAAATTGATACACTTTAATAAAGAAAATAAAGAAATAAACACTTTAATAAGAAAATATTATAATTAATTTTGATAAATAATATAAACAACGATAACATAAGAGAAAATTTGAATTGATAATTTATTAATATAATAAAATAGATTTCATCAATTGTTTGAAAAAAAAAGAATAGACAATTTAAATTCTTTAAATTTCCTTATAAATCTACAATTCAATTTTCTTAATAGATACCAGATAAAAAAGTCCATTATCTCAATACAAATACAAAACTAAGTTAGTTTTTACAATAATAATTTATTATTTTTTATTATTATTATTATTTAAATATAAAACATCATTTGAAAAACAAAGAATATATGTGCATGAATTAACGAATCCTTTTTATTCATGTAGATTTTATTCGTATATATTTTTTACTATTCTATTTAAAAATCATGAAATCTTTTTTATCTCTTCAAATGTGATCAAATCAACATTCTCTTTGATGCATATATGTAAATATATTCACATTAATAAAACATAAGATTATAAAAAAAAAAAAAATTCAAAAAATTACAAAATATTTTAAAATAATTATAAAATAAAAAATTAAACATTAAAAATATCTTAGAAATATAATTATAACTCTAAATATTTCTATAATCATAATAATTCTAATTTCAGAAAAATGTAAATATAAATAACATCTATGTGTTAATTATAAAAAAAAAAATAATATTTTTTGTTATCGAGATTACGAGTAATTTATATAAATACATCCGATAATTAATGTATTACGTTATTTATTGATTAATAACTATGTAAATTATCATGATCAAAATATCATGAAGATATAATTTAATTTAACATTTAAAATATCTCATTTTCAAGTTTATATTCTTTGTCTGAGATAATTTTTCACTAACGCGAGACAAATATCGATTTCAAAATATAAAAACAAAGTCTTTGAAATTTCTTGAGATAATTATAATTTTGCGAAATTATTGTTATTGAATGAAAGTTAGTATTAACCGCATAATAGCTGAGCGAGAACTTTATAAGTTTCTCAATCTAGATCAAACAAAAAAGTTTCGCGCTATAATCGCCGAATGCAGTGGCCGATTCGAAGGAACAGGAATAAACTTATTCAGAAAGCTGCAGTTCGTACTTAATATTCTAACAAGATACCACTTCGAAATGAATTTAAATGGTTTGCATCAATTCCATCAATGGTTTGCATCACTTGAAAGTTATTCCATAGAATATGAAAACTTACGAACTTATTCGTCAAATCTTTAGTGTTTAAATTTAAGATTTAAAATACAATTCTTTCAGAAAAAAATTCTTTCATTTTATAGTATCGTATTAAAATTGATGCATAAATTTTTTTATGCAATTTTTTTATTTAATTGAATATATAAGATAATCTGTTTAAATTAAACTTCTTAAATGAAAATAATTTTCTATAATAATTCAATTTTTTAAATATTTCTATCTTGTATCTAATTTGTATATTGTATCTAATTTAATATTTTAATCAATATTCTATTTTTATCAAATCCTAATATTTAATATACTTTATCCTAATATACTTTAAAAAGTTTTCTCATCTTAAATCTTAAAAAGTTTATTTTTCTATATCTATTTATTTTTCTCATCAAAAGTAAGTTAAGTAATAAAATGAAATACAAATGTTAACAAGAAATTCATCAAGCGGAAATAATTTTTTCATGTTGTAATTCATAGTACCGCCTTGGATATTTTATTTCCATTCGAGTCACAATTGATCATGGACAAAATGTAAAAACTCTTGTCGAGGTTGCACAAACGCACCACTTAAGCGTGAATTACACAAATCGCAGTCTCATTTAGACTGGTGAATAAGAAAGTGTTCAGCATTGTGCTCTGAGGTGAGTTTACCTTTGTATTTGTTTTATTTATTACATTATTGTATCTCACTATTGTATCAATATATGTGAAACATGTTCGGAAAATCAATTCTAAAATTCAAAAAAAATACAAAAGTTGATACACAAAAATATCATTTGAAGTTTATTAAGTTATAAGCAATTTAAGTTTGCATTAGATGAATTGAAATAGTTCTATTTCTATCATATCATTCTATCATTCTACCTCCATTTCATTTTATTAATTGCTATAAATTGTTGTATTCATTACTATAAATTGCTTATAAATTAATAAATTATCTTGAAATAATATTTTTATATATTCGTATAACTGACTCTTTAAAAATGTTCCATGAATACATACATATATTTAGAATATGTTTTCTAAACTTGTAAGCGTATATTGTATATGTGTTCAACATAGTATACGCATGTGCATATATAATAACATGAATTATAATTTTGTGAAAATTGAATATTCTGAATAAGTAAAACGTTTCCTTAATGGAGTATTTAATAATTGCATTTATATATATATATATATATATATATATATATAATATTCATAAATAAAATGTATTAAAAATAAATTTAAATTTTTTATATTATCTCTATTTATAATTATAATATGGCAGCAAAATATGCACATGTTCTGAAATATCTTTGATAAAATTATACAAAAAAATACTATTACTTTCACTCTTTTTTTGCGAGAAATTAATTACCTACTTCCTTAATCATTGCTCCGTATATTTATTTACAAAGCATCTATTTTATAGTATTTATTATGGTATTTAAAACACTATAATAGTAATGCATTGCGTATATTATATATAATACAATATATAATAATATAATATATTATTAAAGAAAATGAAAACTATTTATGCTATACAAAAATTACTAAAATAAACAAAATAAACTACTATTATTCATTATTATTAAATTATTAAATTGTCTATTATCATAAAATTTACCTAAGAAGCAATATAATTCGATGTTCTCTGCCACAATAATATGATGTATTGTATAAGTATTTATTATGACAATTTTATACTTCACTTTAACTTTAAAAGTTTCAGTAATAAATGATATTAATTTTTATACTAATTTTATTTATTATTTTTCATTACTTTCGTTAATATAATACGGAATAATACGGAATAATATAATATTTAATATATACTACGTGTAATGTTAAGTACACAAAATTTTTTGTACTATGCGATTATCGCAATAACTCTCGAATTTAATCGATGAAAGACCAATATAATCGATTATAAACAGAGTGAAATTAGTCAGATTTCCACGACTCAACATTTTTTCACGATTAGTGAGATTCAGATTATTATTTATATTATAGTGCTATTTAACAAAAATTTTATACATTAAAAATGTTATTCAAAACAAATTTGCATTATTTACATTAAAAAAATTACGAAACGTAAGGTGATCTATAGAAAGCAACACTTTCAAACTTGGTTTATGTGTTTATTTCAAATAAATCACTGTCTAGTAAAAATGTATTTTACGTTCATTTTACATTTGTAAGTAACTTTTTTTCACCTTTCACGAAAGTAAAAGTACAATACTGTATATTATATCTATGACATAACCACATTTTTAAATAAATAATGTAATTCATTATTATTTGTTCGTATATATTATATGTAAAAATATAAAATTCAAATAAAATGGATAAAAATCTCATGAAATTGGAAATCTTTAAAAAATGCAATATATAAATTAAGTAAGAAATTATTTATTTGAGTAAATATACACAAATAAAAATCATTATTTATATAATTACATATATATGTAATTTTATAATCTGACTTTTGATTGTTACTGTATGCAAATTAATTTTATTTATTATATTTTCCACATTTTAATAGATGAGACTTTACTTATATATAATATTTATTTATTACTTTGAAAAAAAAATTACTATATTTATTACAAATTACAATTCAAATATTCAAAATTTCTTTCATAAAATAGGTTAACTTAGTATCTAGTAATTATATATATTAAACTATAAAACTATTAATAATATCAGAATTAATATTAATATTAAAATTAATATTAAATTTATTATTCCATATAATATTATTATATTTATATTATTATATTATATAATTATATTATATTAATATTCCATATAATATTATTTAAAAATAATACATATTTAATTTAATATATGATTTACATTACAAGATTGAGATATTAATAGATCATAATAAAGATTATTTTATTTTTAACAAGTAAAAGATAAACAACTATTTATATTTTAAAATGATTTTTATCTTCTATCATTTTTTTTTTATAATATTTGTTGATGACCTAATAAAATATGACCTAATAAAAATATTCCTACGTATATGTTAAAAAAAATACTATAATGCGATATTTTTTTTATGCGTTCTGCTACATTATTTATAGTACATTTTTTTTTCATCACTAATTATTTCTTTCCTTTCTATTCCTTTTGTAAATATGACTTTGTTTTTTTTTCCTTTTTTTCATTTCATCATTTATTAATCATGCATTTTACAATATTTTAGTGTTTTCATACATAATAACATATTCGCATAAAGAATAAGCAAGGAGGAAATGTTTTTCATCGTTTTTTTTACGATCGGTTGAATATGTATCGTAAACACGAAGTTTAAGGATGACCTGGTAACTAATTACCAAATTAAGTAAATCATTAGTAAGTCACGCTAATTATCCTATATTAATCAGCATGCAATTTTTCTAGTAGCGTAATCACAAACAAGAATACCTTCATGATTATTCACCAAAAACTTTGATTATATTCCATGTAACGCTTTTGTGCACTTAATATCTTGTGCATCTTGCAAATTGCTATTGCTCATAGAATTTTATTAATAAGAACAAGGAAAACATAAAAAATATTTTTCATCATATTGTATGTACTATATGTATATTATATTATAGTAGAATTTTTTTAAATTTTAATTTTGAATCGACTGAAATTATAAAGATTTCTTTTGATTTTATTATTTATTATTGAATTTATTACGAAATTAAAATATTACTTAAAGAAAAATTAAAATTGTTATTATTTTGATTTTTTAATTCTTAATTTTAAAATAAATTTAAATATAGTTTTAATATTTATTCTAATAGAACTATTACACAGTTGTAATAAATACATTAAATTTACTAGCATAAATAACTAATAATATAATAATATATCATATTTTTATTATGAAATTCAAATATTAGTTGAATAAAATTCAATGATTAAATAAAATATTAAAATTTTTATTAATTAAGAGAATTAACATCAATTACTAAATCGATTTTCCCAACAACTTGTTTATGATAATCTCGACATCACGTTGATTGGAAATTTAATTGTCCATTGCGGTGGAAGGTTTATTTATCTTTCCATCTAATTATTCAAATTATATTTGGCATATTGTGCCAACCAGTTTCCAAATTCCAATTCCAGTTGCGGCCTCACCGATACATAATTTTAGAAGAATTTTTAATCGATTCGAAACGTTATATCAAAAGTTAGTGATTTTATTTAATTTTCTTTAATTTTTTAAAGCATCCTCTTTTAAATTTTTATTTAAATATAATAAGACTGTAATCTCCTATAAAATATATAAAACATTTTATTTTAAACATAAAATATTTCTTGATTTCTTATCTTTTTTTCTTTCTTTTTAGGTAATAATAATGCTTTCTTCAAACATGTGTAATTAACTTATCATTAGAAGAAGAAATTATCCAAATTATATTATAATGAATATCTCAATTACATAACAGAGGCATGTCTAAAGTTTCTCCAGCGATGATTGAAATTGCATGCATTCAAATATTAAATGACTATCGCATTTGCTACTTTCCACTTTTTTTTCAATGAAAGAATATTTACATATCAAGAATTAACGCGTTAACGATCTCATGAATTAATAACTTTTTTCGACGATGTTTCCTTTAAATCAACCGCTCTATTTGCAAAAAACTTTTCAATTATTATACACGAGATTACAAATTTCACTTTGTACAAAACATTTGAAAACGTTTAAGATGATGAATCGTAGCTAAATGTATTTTAATCTTATGCATTGATCATGCATCTAATTACAGAATTAATACCTCTTCCAATTACAAACGAGATATTTATTTCGATACATAAACAAATATTAATTAAACAACTTCAAATGAATTTTTCAGCATATTATTCTTAATAATTTATATTATTATAATATTGTAATGATGGAATAATAGAAAGATAATATTATACACAGACAAAGAATTAATTCCAAGAAGAATTCCAATTTGAAAGATGATCTTATTTAAATATCTTGATCTACATGTATGAATGCCACAAGATAGATTTTCACACTTGCAAATAAAAAACATAGCGGTTTAAAAGGAATACAGAATTTTCACGCATGTACATAATACCGAGTTTTCATGCTCGCCTTCTCCATTTTTCTCTCCCAGACAACACTTTCGTTATGCTCCAAATCCTCCCTTTGCTCCTCGCCGCTCGTTTTACGGAAAATCTAAAGTGGTAATAAACCAACACGTTTCGAGTTTCCCAGTCAGTCCACACGCGTTGTTAAAGACCACTTGGACGAAGCTGGATCTTCATTAGGATAGAAAGATGTTTGGACATAAACGGAAAAAATGGACAACTTACAACGAATAATGGGATACGCGACAGTTCTTCCCCTTTTTTATCAACGTAAGAGAACTTTTCTTCCTTGTTCATTTTCTGATAAATAGCCTGTCGACCGATGCCTTGAACCTTTATCTTATCTTATCTTATCTTTCGTTTTATTTTTAGTTCTTTAAGCAGAGATTTTCCTATTCTTTTGCGATAAAAATAGACGGTTCGAAAATTATTAGTAATAGATTTCTAATTTGAATATATCCAGGCTCATTTTTATTTGCCTATTTATGTCTGATCCGCATAAAACTTCCTTGTGCGAGCCAAAGACTCATTATAATTTCTTAAATAAGCGATGATAAAATGAGCAACGACAATCCATTTATTTATCGACAATAGGAAATGGTTTTTAAATCGTTCAATGCAGATGAAAGAATTTTTAATAATATTGAAAATTCTCTTGAAAATCGAACAATTTTCTTTACTCATTTTAAATATGTAAAATTTTAGACACGTATATATAATATAATTTTTTGATCAGTCGATTACTGTTTATTGCCATTTGTTGTTGTCTGTCTCATAGTATAGTCGATAAAATAGTTAATTATTTTTAATTGTGACTGAACATCATTATAATTTTATTATGTAAAATAATTGTGGTGTCTTGAATCCATCACTAATTTCAAGGTGTGTCTCGAAACAAATCAGATACCGGATTCTTAACGGTATTATAAAAGGTTTATAATTTTAGATTTAGCCCACTTTGTAAGATATATTACCTATTGCTCAGTATTTATAGGCAAAATAATTGTCGAAAACATTTGAAACCTCATTTGCCATCTCGACTTCGAGAACGTTGGTCGATTCGTGTGTTTCATGGTAGTACACTGTTTCCAAAATTTCCAAGAATTCATATTTATAAGAAAATACTTTAATGTGTTTGGTCGTTTCACGAAAAACACAAAATTAGTACGTAATTGTATTTTTTATAAAAAAAAACGGAAGGAAGTTTTAACAAAAGTTTCAGGTATTAAATCTAATTTAATTTAATTCAACATTTTTTAATAAATTTTATATTTGCGAATAATCAATTTTACGAAGCGTAGGTATAATAATCTTGATTGGAATTGTTGAATTAGTTATTTTTTAGAGATTTTTTAATGAAAATACTAAAATTTTAATTGTTAATATGCATTATTCCAGCTTATTCCGAAATGAATCTTGCCATGATAGCACAGTTTTTAATAGTGCTATTCCTCTTGGAGATAATAACAACGAGCATGGCTGCGATTTTTTTCTCATCCTCTTTGACTAAATCCAAAACGAAGCCAAAATATCAACCATCGACTACTAAACAGAAACCACATATCATTATCATTCTCGCCGATGATCTGGTAAATTGATAAATTTGTTATATTATCGCTTAAAATTATCTCATTTGTATTCTTGTAAAAATTAAAATTTTTATCAAATTATTACAAATGAAAAATACTAAAAGTAATCGTTATTAAAAAAAAAATGAACTCACTCGTTGAATGTTAAAATTTAAATTTATAATTATGTACTCATAGGGTTGGAACGATGTAAGTTTTCACGGATCGGATCAAATCCCCACGCCCAACATCGACGCCCTTGCATACAATGGTATCATCTTAAATAATCATTACGTGCCCGCATTATGCACACCAAGCAGATCGGCTTTAATGACCGGAAAAAATCCAATTCATCTGGGCATGCAACACTCTGTGCTCTTCCCAACCGAACCACGAGGGCTCCCCTTGAGCGAGAAACTGTTACCTGAAGTACGTTTCCCCATCGTGATTTTTCTTCACTTTTATTTTTTCTTCTTCTTTCATTTTTTATTTTCATTTAAATTCACAATAAGATATGTGTTAATTGTTACTTTTATTTGAACAAGAAATTTTATTTAATTCAATATTACTTTTACAGTATTTGAGAGAAGTAGGATATAAAACACACGCTGTGGGAAAATGGCATTTAGGATATTTTAAGAAAGAGTACACTCCGACTTATCGTGGATTTGATTCACATTTTGGTTATTGGAACGGTCTTCAGGATTATTACACGCATATCACGCAAGAACCTGTGAATATATTTAAAATTAATCTTTTGAATTTATATATTGTACATTATGTTACTACTAATTGTGTTACTACTATGTTACTAATAAATTAACACGTTGAATTGATAAATCAGTTTTATATAAAGATAATTCTTTCAGGATCCGGCGTACAGCGAGTTCAAAGGTTTTGACATGAGGCGAAATCTCACAGTGGCATGGGACACCGTAGGAAAATATTCTACAGATCTGTTTACGAACGAAGCTGTAAGATTAATTAATGAGCACGATACTGATCAACCAATGTTTCTATACCTGGCTCACTTAGCTCCTCATAAAGGAAATGAAGAACAGCTGTTTCGAGCACCCGATGAAGAGATTGCCAAATTTTCATACATTCTTGATCCTGAAAGAAGAATTCAAGCAGGTGAGTTAAAATCATCTAATTAAAAAAAGAAATATTCCATTTTAAAAGAAACTAAAAAAGAAAAATAAACAATTTTTTAAATAATATTGAAAAATCTCTCTGAAAAATAATATTTTATCTGTTACTAAATAATTTTCTTATATAATATAATATAATCATAAACTAATATAATCATAAAATAACATTTTCTTGTAACTTTAAAATGCTCTAATTTAAAGCTGTTGTATCAAAATTGGATCAAAGTGTCGGTGATGTAATGGATGCACTAAGGAATCGCGGCATGTTGGAGAACAGTATAGTACTTTTTATGAGTGACAATGGTGCACCAAGCGAGGGTGAATTGAGTAACAAGGGCAGCAATTATCCTCTTCGAGGCGTAAATATATTATTCACATTATATTTTTATATTAATTTTGAACAGATTAAAATCTGAATACTTTTCAGATAAAGAATAGTCCATGGGAAGGTGGAACGAGAGGAGTTGCAGCTATTTGGAGTCCTCTAATTAAGAAATCTAAAAGAGTTTCTAATCAAATGATGTTTATGTCCGATTGGCTTCCTACACTTCTATCTGCAGCAGGTTAATGAAATAATATTAAAAGCATCAATAACTCTAGCTTAGCATTTAATTAAAGTGGAAGGAAAAAATCATTAAAGAGATTTAAATTCCTTTCTTCGTGTATCTTTCAGGAGTAGATAGAAGGCAACTTGATAACATCGATGGATTTGATCTCTGGTCAGCCTTGGTGTTGAACAAAATCAGTTCCAGATCCGAAGTAGTGCTGAATATTGATGATCTCAGCGATTATGTTGCCTTCAGACGAGGTGATTTTAAATACATTATCGGTCGAACAGAAACTGGTAGTGCTTGGCTTGGAGCAAGTGGAAATTCATCTGAAGGCATTTCTCCGCAATACGATCCTTATAAAATATTGTACAGCAAAACTGGTGTTGCTATTTCTGGTATTATTACTGCTAAACAAGCGATGGAATTGAAAGAAAGAAGAAAAAGAAGCGTGGAAATATATGATACTGCATTAGAAACTAATTTTGAAGAAAAGATACTCAGTGTCGAAAATATTTCCGAATTGCGAAGGAAAGCACAAATAAAATGCAACGTCAAAGAGAAAGATAGAGTTAGTATTATAATTAAATATTTTTTATAAAAATTTATCTTACATTATATTTATTTTTTTTAATAAACAAAAAAAATACGTATAGTTTATAATAAATTTTATAACAATCCTGTTTGATAAAATTTTAAAAAATTTTTCTATAATTTTGCCATAGATCCCTTGTGAACCAATGATAGCACCATGCCTCTTTAACATAGAAAAAGATCCTTGCGAAATGGTGAATCTTGCCAAAACAAGACCAATGATTATGGCTATTCTGGAAAGAATTCTAATGAAGTACAGAATAACCGTGATACCTCCTAGTAATTTAGATGGAGATCCTAGAGCGGATCCATCACTTTGGAATAACACTTGGACCAATTGGTGCGAAGCTAATCCATTAGCACTCTCTTATACAAATATTGAGGAATTGAAACAGTCTGGTCCAGCAATTGCAGTGATGTCCATTATTTTTGGCCTTTTCGTTGTTGGTATAATAATGTTATTCACTTTGAAGTGTGGAAAAGGTAACTCGAACAATTTAGAAAATCCTGAATATCAGAATGATCATGAAGAAGTTGCATATACTACAAACAATAACGAACAATCATTTTCTATGTATAGTATTATAACAAATACGAGACAAAGTGATATGTCTAAGCATAAACAAATAAATTGACACTTTCGAACGAAATATACGAGGAGTAAACCTCTTTTAATTACTATAAAAATTTATTACATTAATCGAATTCTCATGCAAAAATATCAATGATATCATAATATTTGTTTATTCATATATTTATGAAATGAAACACATACGAAATTTTTACCTCGTATAATTTCGTTCTTTATTATTTTCTTCATTTCTTTCAAAATGTGATCCACACGATATACACGATTATATCGTGGATAGGATAACAATGATAAAATGAAACAAATTTCCTAAAATTAGAAGTACCGCTTGTTAAATAAGTTTGTTGTACTTCGAAAAAAAATCATGATTCAATACATTTGTAAATAATTCACAATCTTAATTAACATTTTACAAAATATTAAATATTAAATATTAAATGATAATTGAGTGGATGTATGAAATAAGGGTAGGAGTTATCATTTTATCTTTTTTATGAACATCAGTATTTCATTCCATTATTGCTGAATAGTGATACTGATAAAATACGAATTTTTTATTGTTCGAATATTATTTACCGACTTTTTATTTCCATATCCTTTTTGCATATATCGATTCAATTTACGACATTTGTAACCTAATTAATACATGCATATTTATTCATTTAATTAAAATATATTACATTAATGACTAATAATAAAAACAATTTTAATAAATACTTCTGTTTCATAATTTATTTATTCAACGACGCTTTCTTTTTTTTTGTACAAAATATTTCGTGGAAATAGAAAGTTCGAATCATCATAGTTAAAAAGCAACAAATAATTACGGCACTTCCAGTGATAAAACATTTTCACAATTAATATTAAATTTCAATCATCGTATGATTTGTCAACATTTCATTAGAAATTTATTCTTTCGATTCAATCGATAACATTTTATAGAAATATTCGTGACATTAAATAATTGACAAATCACAGATAATAATTTGCATAATAGACAATGGTAAACAGAAAAATTTGCAGAAATTAAAAAGAATTATTATCGGAACAAATATATTTGTATCGAATATTAGATCTCGATACTCAAGAAACATCTTACGCCCTATTAACAATTTCATGGCTAATAAAATAACTGAAATATACATTTCTTCAAGGCAATGTTCGTTTATAATTTATCTAAACACGACAACTATACAATGATTATAATACAATTAAGTCCACTCCTCACATTCTCTTCTTCTCTGAAGAGGAGTGACTTTTTAGAACCCTTTGAAGAAATACGACAATAATACGTGAATCACATTTTTCAATCACGTCGCAATGTGTCGACGAATTAATCGAAATTTTCAATTGTTTTTGACTTGTTCGATTTAGTTTAATTACAGAAATAGTCTCGGCAGTTGGCACTTGGCAGGAATGTATCCAGAAGGCAAGGATAGTGTCCACCTCACCATCATTAGTATTCCATCACATATGTACCACTTTTGGCGTACTGCAATTTGTTTGAACATCACGTTAAAATAATACTTCATTAAAAATATCTTTTAAGTTCATATTAAAATTTTATAAAGACATTTTTTTATAATAAAATTATACAAAAATTTTTTATAATAAAATTATACAAAAATATACAAAAATTTCAATATTATTATTTCTCTTTATTAATATAGGTATCTTTATCAATATTAATTATATATTTACCTTTTTCCCCATAGCCAATTTAACAAAACACTCGATTGACTCTGGACATCCCTAGCTGTAAACACAAAAATAATAAATTTACAATCTATGTATTAACATATTTTAAAATTTCTAAGTAAAAATTTCTTTTTCTTTTCAAACTAAATAGATATTCTATTCAATTAAGATTTGAAAAGCTTATTATGTAACAAAAAACACTTACAAAGCCAACCAAGTATTTCTACATAAAACTCTGAAGAATAAGATGAAAATTGAGGATACATACAGAGTGTGTAATTTGCATTGACGAGTCTGGCAGCTGCTTCAGGGGGTAAAGTACTTAAAACGTCTTTGTGCGCTAGTAAAGACATTTGTTGTGTGTGTCTCAATTCTCGTTCATCCCTCAATCGCACATCTTTTGAATGGCTCACCGTTTGCAGTTGTGACAGCCTGAAGGGAAAACTAGCTTATACAATAGAACAAGAAGCTTACTATAATACTGATCAATATGTCTTAATACTGCTGTCTTTCTGCCAAGGAATATGATAAGTTAATTCTTTCAAATCTACCACCAAGTATTTAAAGCTCTTATAAACAGCTTATATCTTTACACCTAGTTGATCCGTGAACATATCAAATTGAACTCTGTTAAAGTACAATTGTTATGCTTTCTTTTCCATTTTTATTCATTTATTTTATTATTCTTTATTCAATATAATTATAGAAAAACAGATCTAAAAGAAAATTTTATTCATCAAACCTTTGAATCTCTAATGTTCTGGAAGTAGCAGGAACTCCAAAAAACGCGTTCGTTTCTTGAAAAGAATTCATATTTAAATGAAAAAATTTATCTTGTTCGGATTAATTGGTGCAGAGCTTCGAACAACATTAACAAATCGTACAGGGCTACAGAGGAAAGGATGAATCAACTTGGAAAGCTTGTTTCCGGATCTGCTACGCGCTAAGCAATCTTAGGGGCTAAACAAATGCGTAATCCTTTAATTAGCATACTTTAGAAGATTCTTTTGTTGAATAATAATCTTATTTTGTAGGAAACTATCAAAAAACAATTCGTCACAAAAAAAGTAAACAGTTAAGTGAACAGTTTATACAAAATAGTATACAAGATGGTATACTAGAAACAAAATATATTATTATTATTTCCTTTGACAATAAAAAAAAAAGAATTAATTTAATAATAATATTTCCTCAATCTGTGAAATTACCATGTTTTCCATTACAACAATTTTTCAATTGTAATCCATAATTTCCATAATCAAATAAAAAAAGAAATCAAAATAAATTATATTTTTGAATATTACAATTATTGTAAAAAAAAAAATTTATTCAAATATTTATCATTAGCATTCCTTTCTAAATCACATCAATGTTATTGAGAAATTTCAATCAATGATTGAAAAAAGATGTGAATAGTACATACTTTTGGGCAAGGATTTCCTTGTTTTCCCCAATCGGTGCATCAATAGCTTCTTTGGCTATCTCGACTGGTCCCTCAGACTTGGATGGTGAAGGATGTTCTACAATTGGTTCCACAGTGCCTTCAGAAGTGGTTGCCTCCATTTTCGGGCCGAAGTCTACATTCGTTAAGGTACCTTTCCTCAAGTCTTCATTAACTCTGATCGCGTTAGAGAGGCGTAATTGCAACGTATCGCGTTCTTCGAGTAACTGCATCAATTCGTGCGTCAATTCTTCGCATCTTACGTCTCTTTGATGAAGCATGTACAACGCAAGATCTAATTCCTGCGACGTTGATGTTTTACTCTTCTCATCAGAGGTTTCCATGTTTCCAGGAGCTGTAGAAGTATCGAGAACAGACACGTCTTTCTTTAAAACGTTTTGTATCAATTGATATTCCTTCACTTTATCCTCTAAAAGTGTCTTCAACGAATTGATTTCGACTTCTCTGGCCGTCAAAGTATTTTTCAATTCGGTAAATCGCTTCTCTCCCTCCTCGTACAACGACACGAGTTGCTCTATACGCGCGTCCTTCTCGTAAATTTGTATCTTCAAATTGTGAAGCTCTGCATCCTTGGTAATGCTCAATTCGGCCAATCTTCGTTCCTTCTCCGCCAGATCAGAATTTACTCGTATCAGATCCTCTTCCTTCCGACGCAATTCATCTTTCGTTCTTTGCTCAGTCGTGGACAACTCCATCAACTGACTTTTCAGATTTTCAATGTCTCTATTGTTGAACGATAACTCATCCAAGATTTTTTGATTCTCCATAGCCAAGTTTCGCTTTATCTCATCGATCTCCATTTCCTTCTCTTTCAACTTTCTCTCCAAGAATTCCTCACCCTCCAAACGAATCTGCTCCTTCTCCGCGTTAAGCTTCTGTACAGCTTCCCTAGTCTGTTCCGAGAATCTTTCAAACTCTTGCAAGCGAGATACTTCCCTCTGCAATTCGACAATTGTTAATTTTACATGTTTAATTTCCTCTTCCTTACCGTACAATTCAGCAGTTAATCTTTGAACCATCTCCCGTAATTCAAATTCATCCGATTGAGGCTCCATGCTTGCTTGGACAGACAACTGCGAATCTTTTTCGGCTACGATGTACTTGAGTTCGTTAATTTCTTGCTCCTTGGCGTACAACTCATTCTGAAGCCTGACAATTTGTTCCTGTTCCTGGATCGATCTTCGATCCCTGGAACGAAGACTCGCTTCTTCTTTGGAAACGAATTCCTGGCTTTGCGTCTCGATTCTTTGCGTCAAAGCATGGATTTGCTTCTCCTTTTCCTCGGCTCTTGCATTGATCACCTCCAATGAAGATTCCAACTCCGCCTTCTCATTGTACAGACAATTGATCCTTTGTTGCATCTCTTGAATTATATCTGGATACGTGTTCTCGCTCAGAATATATTTCAAATGCTCGATCTCTTCTTGCTTCCTTTCAAGTTCAACCTGCATATTGTCTACGGTATGCTGTAAATTTTGCTCGCCATTGCCCATTCTAAACACAGGTAAACCGTCTATCATGTTAGTAGAATTACGTCGATCCTGTTGCAAACTCGACAATCTATCAATTTCCATTTGTCTCTCGTTCAACATCCGATTGCTTTGATCCAGAAGAGACATCTTTTCGTTCAAATTCTGCCTAGTCTCCTCCAAAACTTTACGGGTTGCTTCCAATTCCGAGCTCAAATTGTTCACTTGCTCGCCCTTCCTCAACAGTTCATTCTTCAACTCTTCCACTTTCTGTGTCTCCATACGAAGTTCGCTCAATTCGATTCTATTCTTTTCCATAATTTCCATATACTCTGTCGTCTCTTCTACGTTCTTTCGCAAGGTCGCCTCTTTCTCGTCTAGGAGTGATCTCATGTTTTCCACTTCCTGCTCCAAAGTTTGAATACGTAGGGTAGACTCGTTCAGACTGGCCAAGGTTGCTTCAGACTCGTTCAAACGTTCACGTAGCTCTTCAATAGTTTCCACGCATCTCTGATTCTCGAATGACAATTTCTGAATTGTTCCCTCCCTTTCGGACAACTCCAACACTCTCTCGGTCAATTGCCCCTCCGTCGACGTAAATCTCTCTCGAACAGAGGCCAAACTCGATTCCTTTTCCATTAAATTCTGCCTCAAGAGTTCCAATTCTTGTCTTTGGGCGTCGAGTTGAACAACGTTGTTCTGTTTCTCGAGCAAATACTCGTTTATAGCTATTTCTAACGTGGACAATCTTTCGTTGAGGTTTTGCACGTGTTTATCCCTCTCCTCGATTTCTATCGCGTGCTTTTGCATCAATTCTTGAGTGGCCTGACTTACGAGGGCGCTCACCGTCTCCACGCTCTGCCGTTCGATAAATTCCTTCTCCTTCTCGGTGAACGATCTCCTCAAATTCTCCATTTCCTGTTTCTTT